CATGTGAGGCCGTGTTTAGGCAGATGTTAAATAACAACACATGTCAGAGTTTAATATTTACTGCAGTTAAAGTAGTTCATCAACAACACAACAGCAAAACCTCACTATGCTGCACTGAGTTTATTATTAAAAACTATATTTGTTGGTGCGATTAAACTTTTAGACCAGGAGTGTGTAGCTCAATAAGCAAGTTTTGTAGCAGCGTGGCTTTATCCACGTCATTTACATTTATGAGACAGGCGTCATTTCAAACCAATTTCCTTCCAGTACAGAATAAACTTGTAAATCTGAAGACATCAGAAATGAAAAGTTACATCTGGTTACATCTGTTCTCAGTTGGCAAATTTATGAAAAAAAAGAAACTGAATTTGGCCTTGTGTCCCTCCCTGGACTTAATTGCCAGCTCAAGATGTCTCTCCAGAGCCAGGGCAATTATAAAGGACCACCTCCATCCTAACCACCACCTCTTCAACACCCTGCCCTCTGGAAAAAGGTTCAGATCCATCAGGTGCAAAACCAGCAGACTAAAGAACAGCTTCTTCCTGTGAGCTGTCAGAACTCTTAATGTAAACTAAGAGTGTGTAAAGACTTCCCCAACACATCCACCCTGACACTGCTGTTGATCATCTATGTGCAATATCTCAGTCTTTCCATGTTCTGTGCAATATTTTTGGCTCGTGTGCAAGTATGTTGGTCCCAGTCTGTTTCAATGTTTCCTACACATACACCATGTATATAGTTCCACTCACATATGTATACATATACACAGTTTTTTATTTTATTCTATTTATTTAATTATTTATTTGTTTTCCGCCTTCGTTGTATATTGGTTTCTCTTCTTCTTACTTCGTGCAAGAAACTGCACAATGACAATAAAAAGCTCTAAGTCTAAGAATTGTGATTTTTGTGTGTCAAAGTGACAGCTCTTTAGTCTTCTGTGTTTTTCCAAGTCGGAGGCTGCGGTTGTAAATTAGTCCCGCGATTTTCCAGACTTTCACTTTGAATGGAACATCGGCAACTACACCCCGTGTCCGTAACACAATAAAAGCAATAAATTCACACCGTGGCTGGGACAGACGAGCTGTTTTTTCAACAACCATGAAAATGATGGAGGAATGTTAGACGCAGGGAAAATAATTTAAAATAAAAGAAATAGAACGTTTAACTTAGACACGGATTGTAACATTAAAACATAAATTAAGTGTCTTTCCTGTTTTTCACTGTCTGAGATTCCAGCAGGGACGAGAGATAAAACATGCAGATATGGTAAGATCTTAACTTCTCATCACTCGTGTTCACTGACGCAGGTTTGTGTAAAGTAGAAACACTCACGGGTCCCCACTCGGACACGGTCCAGTGGCGTTCGCAGGGAGGACCGGTGCAATTTTTGACGTTCGGTGGTTTGGTCAACGGGTCACATGGTCTGGTCTCATCGGAGCAGCGCACATCGCGGGTTACCTGAGCTTTGCGGCCACATTTAGCAGGACACTGCAATGAGGAAAGAGTCGTTGTCATGAAGAAAATGAAGCACGTTGATTGGTAGAAATGCATTAATTACATTATATTCTTTATTGTTTTTCTTTGCTTTGAATAAATATCTTGAATGACAGTAAAAAAAATTTTCAGAATCAGTAGGAACTTTTAGTATACTTAAAATGTATGGGTGGCCTAGGCATCACTTTTAAAGCTTGTTCCTCAAAAATGCACAAAACCACCCCAAAAACATGTTTATTACATTTTCCTAACAGCACCATTTACTGTTCGTATGTAATGTAAAAGAATGAATGAATGACTGTGAAATAACCCAAAAAGTACAAAACTATTAGAAAAACACTGCAGACCTTCAACAAAGATACATGTGGAACAACTGATCTGTAATTAAACGGTCACGTCTGCATTGATCCACAAAGAAAAAGAAACATCAGCATGCGTACCCGACATTTCTGTCATTCTCTCTCTGTGTCATACAACCTCTAACAATCTAACAGAGTCACATTTAGGGTTTTTGGTGTCTGTTAAGTGTTTCTGGAGAATCCATCAGTGACCACAATCTGACCACAAGACTGTAGCACACAGCTGCAGCACTCAAAGCTTGACAAGAGAAAGACAGAGACATGTGCACTGCAAGAAAAACACAAATCCTGCAGAGTGCCGGGGAATGTTTGCACAGAAATCAAATGCAAAAATCCAAACAAACAAAAAAATATGCAAAGTAAAGATGCTCTGTATGTTTTAAAGGGACAGTTCACCTTAAAAGTGCATGTCTTTCTTCAGCTTGTAGTGCTATTTATTCAGCTACATCTACTCAACACACAGAAAAGTAAATCAGATTGTTTTAGTATATTAGTACAAGCTCACATTCCTGGTTTATCATACCTCCATCCACTCGGCCACCTCCCACTGTGGGCCGCACGCGGGGCTCTTGCAGGGTCTTCTCTCCACGGGTCTCTCCAGGTCAGCCATGGTGCAGAGGTCACTGTAGACCGAGCTGTCCAAACCCGGCGAGAGCATCTTCCAGCAGCGCACCTGACGAAACTGGAAACCTTCCCC